AACTTCACATTCGCGGTTTTGCATTTTGTTGATACGCGGTTTTGCACTTTAAGCGACGATATATCCATTTTCATGTATTTATAGCTAACTGGTGATACAATAAAATGCGTTTTTATACCATTCAGTAATGCGTTTTTTGTTTATTCCTATTTACTACTATATGTATAAACGAAAACAAATTTCTCCTTTAATATATCATTTAACGTTTTTCCGATCTGCATAAATACAATAATGAGATAATATGATTTCAATGAATTTAATTATAAACAAGTAAGAAAGTCTAAGTTCGGGCGGAGCCGAACATTAAATACCCGGCGCAAGTATTAAATACATATATGGTTTTTCACCTTTCCGAAACCTAGCGCTAAATGGTAAGCCGATGTGTATAAATTTTGATACGGTTGCCAGACGTACCGATTTTATCAGTACAGTACTGATTTTTCAAGTCTTGTACTGATTTTATTCATTTCTTCAATCAGTACGCCAATGCCCTGATTTTTCAAAACTCGTACTGCTTTGTACTGAATTTTCTATTCAGACAAAATACTTTAGTATTTTCTTAAGGTTTTTACACAACGTTGGAACTTCCTTAAACTGTACTGTAAAAAATAAGAAGAAAATAATTTAATTACAGTTGACACGTTTTAGATAATGTTTGATATGCCCAAAAAATTAATACAACAAAAAGATCAATCGTTTTATGGGCATATCGCCGGGTCGTTACGTACCAGTTGCGATAATATGATGGAGCTTAAATTATTTAAAAAGAAGGCTTAAATTTTTGTTGAGTGCTGTTAGTTATCTCGAAAATAACTTTCAGTTTAATAACAATAAATTTCAATATTCGAATGGCTTTTGCCTATAACTTACAACTCCTTTTTCTCAGTTTACTGACTTTGTAAAAGAGTTTGGCATACAAGACATAGAGTTAGATACTCTTTTTGGTTTCTCCAACTCAACTTAACTTAGTTAAGCCAATTTTCTTGACTTATTCAAAAAAAAGCTGTGTAAAACGTAGGCTAACTTTTGACGTCAGTCCGAAAAGTGGCTAAACTAAGTAAAGTTGAGTTGGAGCAACCAGCCCCTTAGTTTTTGCGTAGTTGAAAATTATTTAAGCCATGAGGAAATATAGATGAACTCCTTAAAAAGTGGTACTTTTTCACAGTATGAGAGGATCTTAAGAATAAAGTTTGTTTCCTGGCGCAAAGAGAGAAACCGGCTTCTAATTGCAATTTTTGAAAGTGAACTTCAAATTAAAAGTAATTTTGAAATGAAATGTATAGATTTCTTTGACTATTTAAACACTGAAAATGGGAATGATCTCATTATTGCTATTCAAAAAGTAACAAATATAAAATAATTTATAAATATGCTCCTGTGTATAATGATGTGTCACTCATGGTAAAACGAATAGCACTTTTATTTTTTATGAACTATATTTTATTTAAATACCAAAATATTCTTAAAAACAAGAACTCAGGCGTTTTAAATGATTTTCTGTTACTTATATTCATTATTTTGCGTTGAATAAAAATGTACTGAAAAGTACTGATTTTTTTAGCATGAAAAAGTCTAATGTACTGATTTCGCGCATTAAAAATCTGGCAACCCCAAATTTTGAGTAAATTAACGTCCTTAAATTTCGAAATATTGAAATTTCAAGCATTTCTGAAATTTACCGTTATATGAAAAGCGGCCGTAATTTTAGTCCGATTTCAATAATTTTCAACGTTTTGCTTTAATGTGGCAAGCACAATAAAAATACCGAGTTTGGTACAAATCGGTAGAACGGTTACCGATATACATATATGTGATCATGAGTGGGCGGTGCCACGCCCATTTTCCAAAATTTTACCATAAACGTATTTCTTGGTAAAGAATTGTTGCAAGCATCAATTTTGAATAAATTAGTTTTAATATTTACTGATTTATCGAGATTTTGTATATCTCTAAATGACCGTTATATGGGAAGTGGGCGATTTGGTATGCTGTACCAAGGCCAACAACTGTGCCAAGTTTGGAAGAAATTGGTGCAGCGGTTACCAAGATATACACATGTAACCATAAGTGGGCGTTTCTACGCCCATTTTCCAAAAATTTATAATATTCTTATTTTTACCTTCCTTTTATTAGCTCGGGATGTAACTATGTAATATTGATGCGCCTAAAAGATGCAGCGATTTCTATTCTCAAGTTACATACCTGATGGTAGTACGAATTGCAATTATAATAGGGAGGTTTTAGTTTTTTAAACTATAATTTTATTCGTATTGAAATTATCGTAAATATCCATTTGGAGTGAATTATCTTCAGTAGTTACTAAAATATCGCAGTTTTCGTATTTCTGGAAATTACCGTTATATGGGAAGTGGGCGTAGTTGCAGTCCGATTTCGCCCATTTTCAATACCAACCCACCTTGGATTAATGGAAACCTACATGCCAAATTTCGTTGAGATATCTCAATTTTTGGTCGAGTTATCGTGTAAACGGACGGACAGACGGACGGACAGACAGACATGGCCTAATCGACTTCTCTATTCATTCTGAGCATTTATGTATACATTTGTCTACATCTATCTCGATTCGTTTTGGCTGTTACAAACAACCGTTATGTGAACAAAATTAATATACCCTAGTGCACAAGTGCGCTCGGGTATAAAAAGACGAATAGGCATTGAAAATTAAAAAGGCATTTTTATTTTATTTTTTGTTCTAAACTGATAAAGTTAGAAGGACAAAATTCGATGGTGTGACAGTGTATGTATTAGTCCTTAAATTTTTTTTCGAAAATAACTACTGGAAACTTTCATGGATTTTCAAGGATAAAATTTTAAAAGGGCATTTTCAACACCTATTCATCCTTGTACACCAAAAGATACATTTTTTTTTCAATTCCACTGAATGTTCTCCTTCATTTGGTTCCCTTATTGTTATTCTGAATTATACTGAACTTTTTTTTAATCAATCATATCCTTGAAATTTCAATGTCCTTCAAAAAAAGTCCTGACGCCAGAGAGAAAAACTAAAAACGCAATTGAACTATATTTTGCTTCTAGTTTCGCGAGAATATAAATTTTTTTTTGTGTGGAAAATTGACTGTCGCGTGGTGAAACATATAGGGGTCTGGCAGGACCCATTAGGTACGAATGCGATGTTAACAGCAAAACAGCCCTTTATTGTCTTTTTGATCCTGATTTATTTTTTGGAGGATAGCAAATAATATTTCAGGGAAAGTCAAAAAACTTCAAATCTCTAGCTCATTTACAAATGCGTTTGTTTTACAAGTACAACAGAAAAAGGTCTGGCTAGACCCGTCTGCTTAAAGGAGGGATATATACAAAGGATGAAACTGTCCTCAAATTTAATTATTTTCATCAGCAAACGGGAGATATATGGGCAAATCTAAAAAACAGGTAACCTTTGTGTTATTTAGCTTTATTTTCATTGTTGTGAACTATATCAACCTGGTTATTTTTGGATATAATTCAAAGACGCATACTTCAAGTCTCAAAAAACTGTTGAATCAATTTGTTGCATAACTTTTGAGTTATAGATGTTTTAATTAAAAAAATTGTAAAAACAAGTGAATTATTTATGATTTTTATTTTTTTTTTGTATTTTCATAACCTTTTGAAGCACACCATGTACTGATTTGAAATTTTAGGTGCAATGAATACTTATGTGTACACTTCATATGTAAAAGGTAACAAAAGTGTGCTTTAAAAAATAACAATATGGCAAATAACTCAAATTGTGGAACTCTACTTTTCACAATTTTTAAAATTTTCGGTTTATCCAATATAGTTTAATGAAGCATTTAATTTTCAAAACTTTTAAGTATGTATCTATTGTATTCTAAAAACATTTAAGAATAATTTTATACCTTAGCAAGAGGTGTGCTTTCAGACTAAACCAACTTTTAAAAATAAAACATTCTGCGATCTTGAGCGTAATTTTTATTCCAAAAAAATCTTAATTGAAGGCACATTTCGAAAATATGTCAAAACGATCTAAATCTCTTTGTAACATCAAATATAGTTGTAAAATGCTTCAAACCAATTTTTACTAGAAGTGTGTAAAACCCCTGATTTGCTTCTTTTAATGAGGATCCTTCTTGTAGTGAGAATATTTGGAGCGAGGTATCAAATCAACTTTTTTTGGGCAAAGGTTGTGATAGTTGCTCCCACTTAATTGGCGTACAACGTAACAACAATAATAAGAAGAATGTGGCCAATGGCCAATCAGGACCAATGATAAAAGGGACTCTACTTTACTTGCAACATCACCTTCAGTCCTTGAAAGAGCAACATTTTCAATGAAGAGACATAGCGGCCACGTTCTTCGAAAGTGAATGTAATAACTCAAAAAACTATTTCTAAGTTAGCTAAATAAGTTAGCCGTATGGAAAGGGAATTTTTACAGTTGGTTTTTGCAACAAATTACAAAAAAATCATTTGGTATGTTGGCCACCAAAGCCGAGAACGACCTAAATTCTATTCCGAGTCTGAGCAACAATTACAAACTATTATTTTTTTCCTAACAGCGGTCAGCGGTCGGATCCCTCCATTTGTGTAATTTCATCAAGACGCCCACTACAAATTATTACTTACTTTTTGTTATAATTTTCAGCGAATAATATCAAAAAGATGCAATTTGAGATAATACACTTTTAAGTGTAATAATTTATAAAATAACACCAATTAAGTATTTTAACTGCATCAACCACTCGAACTTGTTAGACACATCTCAGCACCTCAAAAGAGCACAATTTAACCCTTTGAATTGCCATTGAAAACGTTTTACATGCGTGCCTTTGTCTGCCTGCTTCGACAAATAAAATAAATAAATAAATAAATTAGTAATCCAAAGGTTATGGTGGTATGGCTTTGTTCCATCCTTAAGCTAGCTCTAGTCCTGTATATACACTTATAAACATACGTATATAAATATAATTGTACATATTCCTTTGCTCTACAAAGTCTGTTGTTTGCCTTTGCAGACACGCGGCCATTGAATTGAATCGCAAAAGCCAAATGGTTTCGGAGGCCGTGGAGGAGGTGTTGAATTTGGTTGACAAGGCGACTGAGACATTCAAGCAAATCGCCGGCGATGATATTGTCACTTTGTTTGATGGTATGCTAAGCGCACATTAATTTTATTTATGTACAAATACAAATATTACATGTTTAACGCCCCACTATTGTGATAGCAGCCTCGCGAAATCAGACTCAACCATCAACCGCTCGAAAGGGCGAGGAGGAGAGCGCAGGTGCAGCCGGGTCAAGTGCGGCTGCTGGCAACAATGAAAACGCCGGCGGCGGAGGTGGGGGCGGTGGCGGCGGCGCTGCCAGCCAGCAGCAGGATTGGAGCATTCTATGGTCTTGTTTTGAGAACCCACTAACTCTCCTCTCGACAACAGAGAGTTTGCCCAAGGGCATGCAGGTAAATGGCCACTCTGAGTGAGTGTTGCCCTGCCTTGTTTGTAAATTTGTTCTCCTAGGATATGGTGTGCAATGCGGTTGTGGAGATGCGGCGCTACTATAGCAGAAAGGTAATCGATGTGCTGATTAAGGTAATACGTGGCGCTTTGGACACCATCAGGCGTCGCTTTGTCGCCGACGAGAATGACACCGTACCAAAGAAGCCGATATTCGCGCTGCATGCACAATTGCAGATCCCAATTGTGGTGATCAAACCTAATCTGGATGAGTTGCAGGAGATACTGATAACGGCGGGCAAAAATATCACTGGCATTGCCAAAGGCGTGGCGCAGTGGAACAGCGGCAAAGAGCCGGCAAGTGTAGTTGCTCACAAAATTTACAAATATATACACACATACATACGTACATACATTTAAAAATAGTGTTGAATATCTTTTTTTGCATTAACAGCAAGTGTCACTGACGCCGCAACCTCGCGTTGGCCGAAATCACAACACGGGAAACCGAGCGCGCCGCCGCAAGCTATATACGCTAGCCTCCGAAGAGCGCCCGCAAATGCCGCACATGTTGAAATCTTTTTATGCCGCCATCATGGATAACAAAGAGGTGGCAAAGGCGCTCAATTTGCTGTCGAATTGCACCAAGAACATCAAACCCGAAATACAAAGCTACATTAAGCGTTGGAAACCATATCATTTCCTTTGGAAGAACGACCGCACAACGCGCCAACTAATGGAGTTCGGATTGCAAGAGTTTGAGACGACGCTGCGTTGCTTGGCCGAGTTGGACGCCAACCTGTTGGTGGAGCCAGAAATGGAGGTGTTCGGCCAGTGTTTGGCCGTCTACAATGAACGTCTCAAATATGGCTTGGCCATTGAAATAAAATGTAAGCGAATGAGCGACTGCCAAATTTAACATTGATTTGTGGAGGGGGTCTTTGGGAAGGGAGTGCCGCTAATTTCGCTTAACACAAACGAATTTCGTTTCTTACGTTGCGATGTTGTTGAAATTTATTACAATTTGTGGTTAATGTTTTCGTTTGATGTGTAAATTGGCACTCATTATGCCGTTATGATATTGTACGTGACTAAAACCAATCATCAGTGAAAAGGTGAAATTTGCGGCCCCTTGTTCCTTTTGTACTGCAAAGAGCTGGGATACGAAAGCCGTGCATAAAATATATCAAATTCATTTTTTTAAGTACAGTTTCAACGTGGTAAAACCGAAATATATATATTTTTTTAATTTTCTAACACACTTCTTCATATTTAAAGTGTGCTCTTAAGCTATTTTTGCGTAAAGCCTTATTTTTTGTTCACAGTGCCATCTCATGGATATAAGGAAAAAGGAGGATGATAAGAAAGATCTGCGTTAACTTTAAGGTGCAACATAAAATGACCAGTCCTGGCTTGAGAGTGTTGTTTCTGTAGCCCAGTTTTAATGTCCACACAAAAAACCTAACATTTATTTATAGTTTATTATTTATAGTTTTTTTTTTAAGTTTTTTTTAGCGATAAAATATATAAAGTTTGATTTGAAAAACAGCAGCATTTCCCGCTTAATTGCACTTCAAAACTTGCAAAATTTTTATTTTAATTAAGCAGGGAATACATTTATGGGGGAAGGGGGTTATTGATGGTATATCCCTTTTCGATAGCATTTATGCGGGGATACCAATTAACCGGAGGTCAAATAAGCGGGGAATACTGTAATACCTTCTTACTTTTAGTGCCATTCAATAGGCCTGGTATCATGTCGGCGAAATTTTAATTTTATTCTTCATCTCTTAATAAGGTATCCTAATAAAAAGAAAAAATTATTTATTTTTGATTTTTTACACAAGTCAATTATACTTCTTCAAGGGAGAAGAATACCTCTTCGACGAAAATTCAATGCGATATCTTATTGGGTTAGGTTAAGAGAGGTTAAGTCAAGTCAGGATGGCTGCCTCTATAGGTGAAGGCGCATTTAGACTAGTAGATTAGCTGTCCCATGTGTTGCCCTTAAGAGAGGAAGATGAGAGCATTATTATTAGGTTTGTCCTATTTTACCATCATGAGCTGGCACAGAAATCCATTTCCTTGTTTACGAATCAGAAAAAATTACATCACAGATCAGAGGGACAAAATAGCACTATGTGGAATGTATTTATCTATAAATGTATATACATAAGCCTTTTTATTTGAAACTGTGGATTAAGACAACGAAATATGTATATTTAAGAACGGGTTTATAATCACCCTATATATCGCCGAAAACTTGTATAAGGTAGTAAAAAATCCTGGTCCCTTGCTAATTTGGCTCGGACAGGCTTCACTGTATTCCGATCCCATTGTATATGTAAGTGAATTCTTGTTCATAAAGTCAGACAGAAAAAGAGTTTTAGACTTTACAAGTGATGCTTAAAAATATACATAATTTCGTTTCAGCCTGTAATCACAAGATTGGTCAGGCCATGAAGAAGAAGTACAAAAAGGAGATGGACTATGTCTACGCAGTAATTAACGAAATGGATAGAAAGTTAGACAGGCCAATACGTGATCTTGACGATGTGCGAATGATCATGGAAACCTTGGCTAAAATAAGGGAGCAAGAAGTTGACATGGAGTTGCGCATCGATCCAATAGAAGTAAGGGCGGATAATTTCAGAAAGAAAGAAACATTTTTTCCACCATATTTTCATTTCGATAGGAAGCCTTCAATGTACTCACCCGCTACGAAGTTCAGGTGGAGCGTGAACAATTCGATTTGGTAGATAATTTGCGAGGCACGTTCCAAAATCTGTTGGCCTGTGCACTTCAGGCCCAAGTCAAGCTGCTCGAGATGCAACCGTCCTTTCAGGATGACCTACGCAATAATTTGGATAAATTTAAACAAGATAAGATACAGTACGTCAACGAATATCGCACTGCTGGTCCAATGCAAGCAGGTCTGACACCACGCGAGGCTTCCGATCGCTTGATATTGTTCCAAAATCGCTTTGAGGGTATGTGGCGTCGTCTACAGACATATCAAAGTGGTGAAGAGCTATTTGGTTTGCCACAAACGGATTATCCCGAATTAGGACAGATTCGAAAAGAGCTAAATTTGTTGCAGAAACTCTACAAACTGTACAATGACGTGATCGACCGCGTCAGCAGCTACTACGACATACCCTGGAATGAGGTGGACATTGAAGAGATCAACAACGAACTGATGGAGTTCCAGAATCGTTGTCGCAAACTCCCGAAAGGGTTGAAGGAATGGCCAGCTTTCCATGCACTAAAGAAAACCATCGACGATTTCAATGACATGTGTCCACTACTGGAGCTGATGGCGAATAAGGCAATGAAGCCGCGCCACTGGCAGCGCATCATGGACGTAACAAAATATATTTTCGAGTTTGACTCGGAAGGCTTCTCACTAAAGAACATCTTGGAAGCGCCGCTGCTGAAACACAAAGAAGACATTGAAGACATTTGCATTAGCGCAATGAAGGAAAAAGATATAGAGGCGAAGCTGAAACAAGTCACCAACGAGTGGTCCGTTCACGAATTGCAATTCATGAGCTTCAATAATCGCGGTGAATTGCTGCTGCGAGGTGATACAACTGCTGAGACAATAGGCCAGCTGGAGGACAGTTTGATGGTACTGGGCTCGTTGCTATCCAACCGTTACAATGCACCATTCCGCAAGCAAATACAACAGTGAGTATCCACGCCGACTTTCATCCACAGCTCAGTCGAATAAACTATACTTTTGTTCGGCGCAGGTGGGTTTACGATCTGTCAAACTCGAACGAGATTTTGGAACGCTGGCTGCTGGTGCAAAACATGTGGGTATATTTAGAGGCTGTCTTTGTAGGTGGTGACATCGCTAAGCAGTTGCCGAAAGAAGCTAAACGCTTCTCTAAAATCGACAAGTCCTGGCAGAAGATTATGCAACGCGCTCACGAGACGCCAGGCGTGGTGGCCTGCTGTGTGGGCGATGATCTCCTCAAGCAGCTATTACCGCACTTGCAGGAACAGCTGGAAATTTGTCAAAAGTCACTTAGCGGCTATTTAGAGCGAAAGCGTATGATGTTTCCACGTTTCTTTTTCGTTTCGGATCCGGCCCTATTGGAGATACTTGGTCAGGCCTCCGATTCGCACACCATACAAAACCATCTGCTATCAATTTTCGATAACACGCGAAAGGTGAAATTCCATGACATCGAGTATAACAAGATGATGGCGATAATCTCCAGCGAGGGTGAAATGATACAACTGGATCGCGCTATTCGTGCTGAGGGTTCTGTCGAGACATGGCTAACTCAGTTGCTGGTCACAGCACAGCAGTCATTGCATTCGATTATCCGCACCGCTTATGCTACAATTAATGATCCAAATTTCACTTTGTTGGGATTTTTAGAGAAAGTCCCAGCGCAAATTGGTCTTTTGGGTATTCAAATGATTTGGACACGCGACGCGGAAATGGCGCTGATGCAGGCCAGGCATGAGAGGAAAGTCATGTCGGAGACGAATAATAAGTTTTTAGAAATTTTAAATACGCTTATTGATCAGACAACAAGGAATTTGACAAAGATGGAGCGCACTAACTTCGAAACCCTAATTACCATACATGTACATCAACGGGATATTTTTGACATACTGGTGAGGGTGCCAGCCATATGCGCGGCACTTTGCCTGAGCTTTAAAAACATTGTTCTATTGAATTCTATATATATAATGTGTATGTATATATGTAAGTATGTCTTTATAGTGTCGCATGAATATTAAGTCGGCAAACGACTTTGAGTGGCTGAAGCAGTGCCGCTTCTATTTCAAAGAAGACCTGGATAAAACCTGGATTTCCGTGACGGACGTTACTTTTACTTATCAAAATGAGTACCTGGGCTGTACAGATCGTCTGGTGATCACGCCGTTAACAGATCGGTGAGTCTATGAAGAGGGAGTCCGATGAAATATATCTGCCTATTTATATTTTGATTTTTGCTTAAAACTTTATTTCTTAAAACATCTCCGAAAACATAATTAGAAACTTTTGACCTTTTTCACTAAGAAGCCCTAAACACATTTGATACGGCTGATGTGCATTTCCGAGTCCTGCCTAGACGTATTTTTCACTGGCTATTTCGTTCCCTTCAATATTGACATATTTACGAGCACAGTAGATAGACGTTGGCGACGCCCGACATTTCCAAACAATTCTTGACTTTACTACTTTGGATCCTAATGCTTTCAATACTGTTTGACTGTCAACGAGTACAGTGTTTTTCCCTGCAGAGACTTATTATTCCGTATAAGGCAAGCAATCTTCTCTTTGGCAGGTGATTTGATTGTCTGATCTGCAGACCCTCCGAATGGAGAGGGGCGCCAACTTCTTCTTGAGCGGAAGCCCCAGCAGCACATCTTCATAAGCCAGCCGTGTTACCGTTATGACGTTCTACTTAAAATTTACTGAAGATAATCCCGTACTAAAGTGTGTACCTCAATTTAATCTTCCTTAATGTAAGATCCTTAATTGCGTCTGCAACAGTTACGGATACTTATGTCGGATTTAAATTAAATATATTCTAACGCTTTTTGGGGTGAACTGCTCACAGCCGTTAGCAGGCAAGTCTCTGCACTCATTCGATTACTTTCGGATAGTTATTTTTTCCCAGTGCTTTCCGCAAAGAGCAAGGCTTTTCCCAGTTTCCTTCTGTGTATGTAATATGCTACTAGTTCTATCTTTGCTTTCTGTTCGAAGCTACGCGTCCGTGTTAGCTTGGAATCAAGTATAAAACCTGCAAACGTATTTTATGTCTCATGGGATATGTATGTATTCTTAGTTTTACAAAGATACTAGGGCTGTTCAGGATGTTGTGTAAATTGTCTTGGATTTGCAGTTGGAATTGCATTTGCAAATTTTATGCTTGCTGGCGTTAATGGCATTTTCGTTTCTACAAAAAATGTTGGCTTCTCATTGCCCTCTTCTTAGTATTTGTGCGTAGAGGGCAAAGAGAAGGTAACCTTTTTTTGGTAGAAACGAAAACGCCATAAGTAACATGATAAAAACAT